TGTTGAATTTTAAAAGTGTTATACATTTTATTTAACTTTAGCTGATGTTGAAAAGTATTTAGATTAATTTTATTAAACACATTTACTACCTCACACATGACAATTTATAGATAGATGGTAATCCGGTCATTGGTATAACAATTCTTATTGCTGAGCCTTGTGATAAACTGAAGTTTGAGATTGCTACATTTAGATTGCTGATGTAACTGGTTTTATCTAAAGCTGGGTGAAAGCTTACCCATTAGACACACTGGATAAAACAAAAATCTAGCATCAAGGGGAGAGAGGAAGTCTGCTAACCCACTTTTCAGATTTAATCAGCCTCTACTGTGATGCCATTGTGTCCTGGCATTTTAAGAAAGTTTGTACATTATGTGTGTGAGTGCACACGCAACGTGTTGTATCATTTGTGTGTGTAAATTTTCATGACACATTTTATGTGATGTGGAATGTTCTGAAGACTCTTAATTTAAAAATTATCACTGCTATAGCCATTTCTAAACAGAAAATGCTAGCTTCCTTTGAGGAATAAAATATTTAATTCAATAACTAGGTTAAAACTTTGTTTTCATAGCTGCAGGCCATTGTTCCTCATCTCTGTATCATACAGACTGGGAATAGCTCTGTTATAAGTTTCCCCCGGGGTGTTCAAGTCTCCCCGCTCTCCAAAGTCATAACTGTTTCTCTGCACTGCCAATTACAGCTCAAATTTTACTGATTCTCTATCCCTGTCGCTATGGCTGGCCGGTCGCACTGCCTGGGGACTACGCCCCTAGCATCGGGGAAGAGAGCTTGGGCCCTCCCCTCTCTCCGAGGCCCAGCCCAGGGCCCTAAGGCGGGGACCTCGGTCCCTGCTCAGTGGAGGAGGCTGTAGCCCCTAAACTCCTCTACTCACGGGGTTCATGGTCCTGCCCTGGGCCACTTCTTCCCTGGCTCCATACTTAATTCTGGCCCGCCGGGTTGGGGTTAGGACTCACCACTGCCGTCCCCCGTCCTGTGTCCTTTTGCAAAGCGCTCTGTGCGCTGGTCTCTGCGCCGTTGCTCCCTCTAACCCTCTTTGCCTTCCTTCCTCCTCTCCCCCACTTCTCCATTCCCTTTTAAATTCCTCACCATGGCATCCGGGGACGGCCCTCCCCTGATGTCCTTGCCCCCAACCTCCCACATCATCCACAGGCGCCTGTGGCGGAGGATGAGCTGCACTTCGCCGCCTGTTCTCCCCTCGGCCATTCACTAGCTGGGGCTTTCCAGCGGGTCTCTATCCCCGCCCAGCCCCCCTCGGGGCTCCCCGGCTTGGGGTTCGGGGCAGCTCTCAGTGCAGGGTGGAGGCTCCCCGTCACAAGCTCTAATTTTCATTTTATATTTTTTCTCAAACTATGATGCTGTGTTCTGAGTTGTCTTTTTCTACATTATAGAAATTGAACCATGTGTTTCTGTTCTGATGTATGCAAAGTAGAGCTGTAGAATCCTGGTTAATCAATTAACCGATTAAATATTAGATCTACCCTAGCAGGGGACTGTTCCACCCAGTTGGATTAGCTCCCAGCCCAGCCGGACTCCTGTCTCCATCTTTGTTCTGGAGCTGGGGCTTGCCCTTGGCTCCCGGCCCCTTGTGAAGCAGTCCTTCACTGCAAAGGGCCTGGGCTCCCCACGGATAAGGGCTGCTCAAGATGAGAGCAGCCCCTGTCCATGGTGGGCTCCCTGTGGTGCTGGAGCAGCTTCCTGGAGCTAATAGGGAACTTGCCCTTTTATTGGTTAACCGTAACCAGTAATCATTACCCTTTTAGTATGATGCTTACTAGTTAATCTTTCACATCCCTAAAAAGTGACACAGGATTTTGGGATAACTAAGTTACAGCATCACATTTTATCCCCAGCAATACAGCGGAGGCTGTTACTATAGTAGAAAAAAAACAACCCACTAGATGCTAAAATTTGTATACACAGTGAAATAGCTGAAAATGAAAGATGTAATTGTGGTATACTTTTCTGCCCTCTAGTGGTGTTTTATAGTAATGTCTGTAGAAGAATACATTGGAGACCTGTTTGATATCATTATCTCTACTGGGGACAAAATAGTTTTTTCACAACAATGCATTGTCCAATATTTATCCAGTTTCAAATAGCACAGTTGATAGGGCTTTCCTACAGTCTTTGAGAAGAGTGTGTCAGTCAAACTCAACCCCAGGGATATTCAATCAACTTTTTTCTTCCTCCCCAAATTATTTAATATAGCCTCTTGTGATCTGGAGTTTGAATGTTTATTTATATCCTTTTTAGTTATTTGACCCACTTGTGCAATCTAGTTCTTATAATTTATATTAGTGACTCTGTTCCATTCAATAATTTTGTTTCCTCAGTGACCTTCCGTTTGTGGACATATCTATTTTATTAAAGTGCTCCATGAATGAATGTAGTATTCTAGATGTTGTTCATATGACACTGATAAGACAAGGAACTATGTTATCTCTGAATGCAATTTAGCTAGCATTTTATTCTATTTAGTTATTTTTCATTATTTGGTATTAATGAAATCAGTGATAAAAATTGATTACCATACCTTAGTTCCATTCCTGGGAGAAATTAGACCGTACTATGTTTATATTTTTTCTGTGGTTTTTTTATTTTAAAATATTTGTTAGAGTCATAGAACCATAGAACTGGAAGAGACCTCAGAAGGTCATCAAGTCCAGCCCCCTGCTCTAGGCAGGACCAATTCCAACTAAATCAACCTGGCCAGGGCTTTGAAAAGCCGAGACTTAAACACCTCTAGCGATGGAGACTCCACAACTTCCCTAAGTAACCCATTCCAGTGCTTCCCCCCCCTCCTAGTGAAATAGTTTTTCCTAATATCCAACCTGGACCTCTCCCACCACAACTTGAGACCATTGCTCCTTGTTCTGCCATCTGTCACTACTGAGAACAGCCTCTCTCCATCCTCTTTGGAACCTCCCTTCAGGAAGTTGAAGGCTGCAAGTTGATTTGTAAGCTTTATAATACTGACTAGGTTACAGACATTTCCTTTAACTGATGTTCTGATATTGTTTTGACCTTCATTGAGTCACATTGCATGTATGGTTTTTGCTGCTAGTGGACTGTTCAGATATTTCATAGTGAAAGCTAATTCCTGGCTTTATTATGGTACAAATAAGATGGCTTTTTTGCACTAAAATGATGAGGCAAGAATAACAATGTAAAGAAGAGCCACCATTTCCTTGTAGATATCAGTGTGGGACTTCTTGTGTATGTTAGCCCTGAATAAACCTTTGTTGGAGGGGATGTGTACTGAGGAACTTGAAGAAAACACTTTTATAAGTAAATAGCAGGTTAATGCAACTTTCAAGTGTTTACCATAACAAAACATCACGTGTCTACATACATTTGGGTATTCACATTCATGATAAAATTGCTTGCACTTCTAACACATAGACAACTACAAATGTGCTTGCCAAATGCTGGCTCTGGAAAGGGTGTGATGGCTCATTTGGTCAGGGGGTAAGTGGTAAGTGAGGAATGGGAGAATTTGGGCTTTATGTATCCACTGGGGCAAATGGAACTTCATGTTGGTTGACTGGTAAAGGATGAAAGGGAGAAGAAGAATTGCATTCTGAGACTTGGTCTACACTACAAACTTTTATTGGTATAACTGTATTGCTCAGGAGTGTGAAAAATCCACATCTACAAGTGATGCAATTATGCCGACCTAACCCTAGCTATATTAATAGGAGAGGCTTCCATCGACATAACTCTGCCTCTCGCGGAGGTGGAATAATTTACTACAACAGTGGGAAAAGCTGTCCTGTCACAGTAGCATCTTCACTGAAGCACTACAGCAATAGGTGTAGACCTTTCCTGAGGAACTATGCGATATCTGAACCTAGTTTCTCTCTGCAGCTCCATCTCATATCCCTGCTTCAAGTCCTGCTTCACTCTCTGTAAACTCCAGTTTCCCTCTCCAATCCTGCCAGTTCTGATGCATAATGTACCTTGGAAGCTGACATGGGTTTGTAGTATATCAATTGGGAGGAATGGGTCAGGAAAATTGGAGATTTAAATGAAACCCCCCCCCCCCCAGCCATGTTTCCTTGCCCTGTGCTGTCCTTAAAGAAATGATGGCCTAAAGCATAGAGGACTGGAATATGAGAGACCAAGACTTGTTTGCTGGTTCAACCACAGACTTCTTTGTGAGATCTTGGGAAAGTCACGGAGGGCTTGAGTACAAAAACAGTTCGTGTGAGACAAGCGGGGTGAATCTACCATGTCCTGCTGTTGTTGGATTTGCTTCCCTTTCAAAAGATAACTTTTTTAGTATGTTGTAGCAGAGTCCACATGGATAGAACCAGGGCCATCCTTAGGATTTATACGAGATTATTAAACTGGTGCTCCTATGACTGACTTGCTCTTCCACCCCTACTGCCTCCCCTCCCCAGAAGCCAATCCCTTCCCTCAGACTGTGCTGCAGGTAGTGCATTCAACTCTCTAGGACCCAGCCCTGCTGTTACATGCTGCACTGCATCCCGTCATAGGCATGCGCAGCACATTTCATTAGGGTGTGCACCCAAAGAATTTTTTTAAATGTACTCTTTGACACCCCCCCATTAGCCACATCCCTGACCCCCATTAGCCATGCCTCAAAGCCTCTGGAGGTAACCCTCTCCAGGCAAGATGGGCACATGACCAAAAGTAAGAAGTATTATGTGGCCACCCCCTCCCCCAGGACTTTTCCCACCATCCTCCTACCAATAGGGACTAGTTTGGCCCCCACCAAACCCCCCTCATGCCACTATCCTGCATTTGCATTAACCCAATGTGTGTAACATTAATTTGGGGGGCAGGAGCTGGGGGAAGTGTTCCTTCTAAGGCTATGTCTACACTTGCGGCTTTTTGTGCAAGTAATATGCAAATGAGCCACCTTTTTTTCAGAAGAGGCTCTTGCGCAAGAAAGAGCTTCTACACTGCGCCTTCTTGCGCAAGAAAAACCCTCTTGGGTTTCACAAGAGGGTTTATCTTGCGCAAGAAGGGGCAGTGTAGACGCTCCTTCTTGTACAAGAGCCTCTTCTGAAAAAAATGGTAGCTCATTAGGCATGCAAATGAGGCTCAGCAATATTCCACACTTAGCTTCCTTTACATATTACTTGTGCAAGAAGCCGTGAGTGTAGACATAGCTTTTTATTTAAACAGTTTATTTAAAGACCTTCAAATCAAACAGTGGGATTGCACTGTCATGTGGCAATATATTTGCAAGTAGGTATTTTATCTTCTCCCAAATAGTTTAGGGGAGATGGTGCATAAAAATTGCCAGGTTATGAAATGTTTTATGAATTTCCCAATATTAGTAATTAGTGTTCAATAGATTTGGTCTTCTCCCTCTTGTCAGCCACTATCACTGTAAGATAAGGAGAATCGCTCTTACAACTTGGCCATTAATAGCTCCATAACACATACAACATAGTATTGCACATGCATATATTCCCCAACTCACGTGCTGACAGATATTTTAAAATTACAATGCACACACACAGTATGCTGTCACACAGAAATGTATACCCTGTTTGGTACATTATGCAAATACAGAGTGCTGAAATGACATATGAATAAACAATTTCATTCATATGCAGATGTAAAAAATAATGAGGCACAAACTTGACATGTTTTCACAATAACACACAATAATATCCTGATAAAATACACATGACAAATTCTCCCTTGCCAAACATAAGAGACCCACAGTACCCTGAAATTCAGTTATTCTCCTAGGTACACTTTGGCACACATCCTCTCACTAAACACACAGGTGGCAGGCGGGCGCTGGCTGCTGCCCCATGCTGCTGCCTCTACTAAAGAGACAGCAGTGTAGGGTAGCAGCTTCTGCACGCCAGAAAGCTAGCTGCATGTGTGTGTAACCGTTTAAATATTCCACAGTTACAGTTACCCAATTACCCACTTTTTTTACTTCCCATATTCAAAGCCTTCTCCCAGCACCTCCCCTTTCATCTCTAGCCCCCAATGCCCTTACCTTCTCCCCTCCCAGCATCACCCTGTCCCCCCCCCACTGACACCTCTTCCCTTCTGCCCTTTTCCTCATTGTCTGCGCTTGGCCCCCTGCCATTTGTCTTTCCTCCACCCCTGTCCCTTTGGTGCCTTTTCCTCCCCCTCCCCCTCCGTGCGTCTCCTGCTGAGGCGCAGCTTGGCCGTTTTTAAAAACGGCGCGGCAATGCTAAGCCGCGCGTGACCCTGCCCCCAGCGCAGCCCCGGCTCCTCCCAATGCTGCCGCCCAGGATGACAATGCCTGTTCCCCAGCCAGGGTCAGCTTGCCAGCCTCCTCGCTGGAGTCCCTCGGCCCGATGGGGTCTTCTGGTGGGGCTGCGTCTCCTGCTGAGGCGCAGCTTGGCCGTTTTTAAAAACGGCGCGGCAATGCTAAGCCGCGCGTGACCCTGCCCCCAGCGCAGCCCCGGCTCCTCCCAATGCTGCCGCCCAGGATGACAATGCCTGTTCCCCAGCCAGGGTCAGCTTGCCAGCCTCCTCGCTGGAGTCCCTCGGCCCGATGGGGTCTTCTGGTGGGGCTGCCAGTGCTGTCAGCACCCCTACTGACTCTGGTGGAGAGCACACTCATATGCTTCCCCTCCCCTACGTCCCAGGCCTGCAGAGTGGTGCCGCAGAAAGCGTGGTGCCCTACGCAACTGCGTACTCCGCGTATGCCTAAGGACGGCCCTGGATAGAACCCTGTAAATCTGTGGATATTTGCTTTATATCCAATGGTATCCACATGCATGGCTCATTTTTGTGGATACAGATGTGGATGTGGACACAAATTTTGTGTTTGCACAGGGCTCTACACATGGGCAGTTAGTATGCAGCATGCTAGCGCAAGGTAGTTTTCCATGAAAGTTATCTAACAACTATAGAGACAAGCCTTTCGTATTAGTCACCCTGTATTACCCTAATTCTCTGTTTCCCATGTCAAAATGAGAGGAATACCTTCCTCTCTCACTATGCTGCTGTGAGAAGAATGTGCATTAACAGTAAAGCACCTTGTTAGTTTTATAGTAACAAGTGAAAAGCTAGATAGAAGCACTAGAGAAATAGTTCCATCTGTTTATTTCCCTCTGCACCAAATTTTCTTTCTTACAAGTGGTACTCATGTTTCTGCTGTCTAGTGCAAAGGCAACAGCAATGAGCATTGTTTCTGTCCCCCTAATACATCCATCAAAATCTTTCCATATCTCATACTCCTCAGCATCTCTATGGAGCACACCTGGGATTGGCCACCAGAATATTGGCTTTTTCCTTGAAATCATATTGGTTATATCTTTCTGGGAATGATTCTTTCTGGGGTTACATGAAGATTCTAATGACTCATTTGTCAATTGTCCATAATCAAAAAACTTTTTTATGCAAAGTAGTAAACATCTAACCTAAGAAAAGCAGCTCTTTTTTTCCAAGCAAAATTAGTAGTCAGCCTATATTATATAGGGATTTTGATAAAACGTAAGGTTACTTTCATATTTGCACATCAGCTCTTGAACATCTATTAGACAACTCCATAATTACAGTGACACCCCAAACTTAAAATCACAAATTAATTGTTCTGTAATGTAAGAATACTCCCTTTTTCCCCCATAGCTGCAAGTGTACACACATTTTCATTTAGATGTTGTAGTTGGACGCTAAAGGTGCTTAGAAACTTAGAATGGGATGTGTGCCACAAGCTGTCTATTTTTCATTAATCGTTTGTTGTGCTTCAGCTGACCGGATTATATTTTTATTATGACTTTTAGAGATACAGTAAAAGTTTAGAAAGCAGTTTCTGAATTCTAAAATGAATTTTTTCCTCCAGAATCTTTTAATGGGTCCCCTACAAGCAGCATCAATTTGGTAAGTACCCTCTGGGTTTTTTTTTAACATTATAGAAGTTTTATAAAATAGTTTGAAGTATATACAGGCAGTCCCCGAGTTATGCGGATCCGACTTAAGTTGGATCCGCAGTTACGAAGGGGGCCCGTCTCCCTGGTCTCCAGCAGACCAGGGAGAGGAAGCAAAGCAGCGGAGCACGCGGGCAGCGGACAGCCCAGACGCGTCTGGGCTGTCCCACTGCCCCTGTGCTCCATGGCTTTGCTCCGGACACCTGTGGGACAGCA